ACTCCCTGAATTTCAATCCACCTTTTCTCCTACATCTAAACCACAGTGGCACCTGCCTCAATCAGCATTCCTTAGTCAGGCCTGGGTTTAATTTGATTCAGTCCCACCTCCTGTGGTCAGGGATAACTAGAGGCCACTTGCCAGGAGGGGTCAGACCTCACTCCCAAACCACTGCCACAGCCTTCTAACGGCCTCCCCACCCACACACCTTGCCCAGCCTCACAGGGCCATCACTCTACTCAAAGTGGTCAGAAGTTCAATTCACCACTGCCAGAGCAGAAAATCAGTCATGGCATTCACAGGTCCCTTCGCCCCTAATTAACCCATAGGGCATAATTTTCTCACGTGCTCTGGGAACCAAGCTTGAAACCATTTGACCTACACTTCCCGCCACCACCCCTTACCTTGAAGAAGAGGCACCCGCCCCTTTCTGCTATGCTCTGACAAAATTAGTCTCATCCTACTCTGCATTCCAAAGTAATGCTCTAAGTCCATCGCTACATTTCCATCTTACTTCGGTTAAGTGCCATCTGCGATGCCTAAGTAAGCATTCCATTCACCCCCCAGTAGACAACGTGCCTACCTACCGTGCCAGGCGCTAAGCTAGGCGTTGGGTCAACAGCCCTGCACGGACTCCCACCCTCCAGGGGCTGGCTGGCTAACAGGGACAGACGCTACACAAGGGTATGCGGGTAATAACGGTCTTGGACTAACCAGGAACGGCCCGGAGCTCACACGAGAGCAAGTTTCTGGAAACTATGCGTCAAACGTGGCCTTTTGGTGTCAGCAACTAGAAGAGGTGAGCGCGCATGTGACATCACCGGGTGCTCAGGGTCAGCTAAGCATCCCCGTCCGGGGCCTGCGGTCCTTAAGGTACAGTCCCTCTCCGGGCCGCCCTCCCCTGGCCTTTGCCAGGCCCCAGCGCCCTGCTATCAGCATCACCGTGCGTTTACCCAGCAGGCCGGGGCGCCCGAGGGCCGACAGCCCGCCCTGCCGACCTCCGCACGGGCTTAACGCCCACCCACGCCCTCGGCCCAGCCGGCCTCGGCTCGGCCGTTTCGGGCTCCAGCACGCACCGGAACAGCGCTCCGGCTCGCAGGGACGCCGAGGCAGACCAGAGTCGCGCCCCAGGGAGCGCGGGCCCCGCCCGGCGCGACCCCGAGAGCCCCGCGACTTCCCGCCCCGGGCCTCAGGGGGT